TATTTTCTTTGTGTCAATTTACACCCGTGAAGTCGGCGCGATTCAAAGTTCACACTCGTTATTAAAAAGCCAACGTTGAACAGCGCGACAGCGAAAATCGACTTTTGATTACTTTGTTTACAATCCCTTTTTTTGGACTATGGATTACCTTGAGTCAGCTATTCTGAGTTCTAGTCTAAACAACATTCCCAATTGTTTAGCAAACCCTTTCCTACGTTGCCCTACTTTAAACTTTACCATAATTTGTCAGAATAAAATATCTATCGCAAGAATTCAATGCGAATTCAAGCGACAATTCACTGACTGTTTGGAAAAGCGAACAATGGCAAAATGCACATAAGATAGCCGTTCATCTTGAAGAGCGTCAAGTGAAAGCACCGCTGTCGGGAATTGAACTTCGACAACACGCCCAATGTATATAAACTGATGATGTTGACCCGAAAGGCCGAAGTGTTACTCGGAAATTTTCCGATGTTAGCGGAACTAACGAAAGACCTACACAACATGACCAAATATTCCCAGAGACTTTGGATTGGACAAATTTCGGAGCCTTAAACCTAGAAAATATCTGCCATTTCCTTTTCAATAATTTAGTTACACATAAACACGTAAAAAATAGCAATAGGAACCGACGTTTTGGGGTCTATATGACGCCAAAGGCCAAATTCACCATGGAGGTAAAAAAGAACGGCATGCTTCCTTTCCTTGGCACTCAGCTACTTAACTGTGCACCCAAGTGGAAACCAAGTTTTATGTGAAAACCAACTAACACAGGTCTACTATTAAACTATCAAAGCCATGTAGGCAATCGTTATAAACGGAGCTTATCGACAACCATGCTCGATCGCGCACACCGATTATCTTCCTCTTGGACGCATTTCTCTGACGAGTGTGATCGCCTGAATAGTAGAAGAGAAAAAGCCACAGATTATGAAACAATGCGATGTTACTTTTTATTTTACAGACGCAAGCCGTTTGTAAATAAATTTCAGTAGATTAGATTCACACTCAATAATTATTAAACCAAACGGCGACAATTAACCTTTGATTAGTTTGTGTTCAATCGCTTTTTAGGATATTTTTCTTTCGAGTATAGTTAACCAGTTTTGGCTCAATTGCTATTGCGAGTCTTAACAACACTCAGAAATGTCCAAGCAAATTCCTTCGTTGATTAATTGCCATAACTGGGTCATAATTTAAGTACTTCCATAACTTGCTAGACTAACTAACTATCGCAAGAATTCAATGCAAATTCAAACGGCAATTCACTAACCGTTTGGTAGAGCGAACAATGGCAAAATGCACAGAAGATAGCCGTTCATCTTGAAGAGCGTCAAGTGAAAGCACCTCCGTCGGGATTGAAGTTTGAAACTACGTTCGAAGGCAGCCGCTAATGCAAACTAACCTTGTAGACTCGACAGGCGGAAGTGTTAATCGGAAATTGTCCAATTCTGGGGGGAAGGGAGGGGTGTTGGTGGCAGTCATTTTTTGACGGGCCGACCTTTACCAAAAAGAAGCTTTGCGACTATTTTCTGACACCTGTTTTCGTGGAAAAGTTGACAAAGATCTCTCTCCCTCAACCAAAATATTGTTACAAACACGATTACTGATCTTATCGCTAAACAAGAATTGCCGGCCACTGCAAAAAATCTTACCATTACCACTCCTAGAACTTCGTGTATTTACTTGTTACATAAAATCCACAAACCTAACAACCCAGCTCGACCCATGGTCCCTACCTGCAGTTGTCTCACCGAAATTATTTCCAGTTATTTAGACAAAATTATGGCTGTTATCGTCAAAACTTTACCATCATACATTAAAGAAAGCCGAAACGCACTTGAAATTTTTCACGACTTTAATTTCCTTGGCCTAAACAGATTTCTTTCTGTGATGAATATTACATCTCTCCATACTGTCATTCCCAATGGCGAAGGTCTCCCGGCCCTCAAATACTTTTTTTTTTATCAACGTATTGTTAAGGAACCTAACTCCAAAATTGTACATTAGAAATCTGCAAGTACGATAATTATAAGTCGTCACAATGTATTTTGTCTTGATAAAAACGTTTGGGTCGCCGACTGGAAAATTCTAAGTCACTGTTCATGTTTGCTTTTTATCATGGCCGTGCCAAACAGGGTAACTGATGTAAATTAATTCTCACAAACTTTTACTTTTATAGAAAATAATCTGATGATCAAGATAGATTGACGAAATCCTATCAGGCCAAAGGAATAGCAGCTATAATGAACACTGTAAAAGTATTTGTGGGTGCCACATCAAACCGAAAATCTGTATAAGGAAAACATTACGTCTCAAGTCCCAAATTTTGATTATTGATTATCTATGTATTGAAAATGAACACACATCATTATCATCATCATCAATCTTTATTTATACACGAAATCATATCATTTTAAATGGTCTTCCTAAGAATCGTGTTTAAATTATGCTAAAATACTTTAAGAACTATTGACTATAATGTTAAACATACAAAAACAAAAACTTATATTATATACTTATACACTGAAAGTGACCTTCCTAAACAAACACATTCTAGCACCTGGTTAGCCTTGTTTTTAGCACTCTAACAATGATCACTGCTCAAAGTCAGTACACGAAAAAAAGCACATAGAGTACGCTTCTAAAGATGGTGGCAAATAATACAACTTTGTTGTATGCTGTGGCACCACTGGTAGGTTTTGGTGGGGTTCCTGTGGCCGTAGTTTTTACAGGAATACTAGTTGCCGGGCCACTTGGTGAGGCGTTTACACTTGGCGAGGCGTTGACACTTGGCAAGGCGTTTACACTTGGCGAGGCGTTTACACTTGGCGAGGTGCTGTTTGCAAGCCCGTTGCATTTGCTCTGCTCACAGCACGTGGCTTCGCATTTTTTAAAGGTCATTCCAGGTTGCAGTTGTGAGGCATTGCAAGACTTTGCCTGGAGGTCTTGGCACATTGACTGTGTAAAGATTGAAATAAGAAAAAAGAAAATAAATGATAACAAGAGTCGAAAAGAGTGATTTTTTATGAACATTTTTAAGGAGTCAGCTAAGAGAGGGGGAAGAAACAGTCAAAGCTTTCGTATCATCGTAAAAATATTTTATCATAAAACAAACTTGTTTGTTCGCAACCTGTTAGATTAAAATTATTATTGTGCTCCCCATCCCACCCCTTGCTCTTACATTGAAACACTTATCCGCGCTTCTCAATTGTTTAATGGCAACGAGATTTGTGCGAGAACCTTGATTGTTTACAAGTGATTCATCTCTTTGCCCAGATTGATGCACAATAAATTATTTCAGAACAGTTTCAAACCGTGTCGAAATTCTTAATTAAGCTACGACTGTTTTGAAATTGTTCCACACCATCACAAAGGCGTAGTTCTGCGCATCTTACATGAAAGTGGCTTACACTGCTGCTCTTTCATGTGTATCATTGAGCTCGAGTTCATCTGAGCTCACGCGGTAAGAAGGACAGGCAAATGGGGTACCTAGAACCTTATAGGGTCTTTGCTATAAAGATTCTTCGGGTAAGCACGTTCTCGCGAACCTGAACTACAGAAGATTTTTATGGAATAGACCGAAAGCCAAACCTATCTGAAATAGACAAGGGTCACATTACCCCCGGACCACACCATATCCAAGCGCCACCACAGGACCACCCCCTATTTATACTAAACCCCCGGGCCACCCCCCTAGCTATGCTCCCTGTACCTCCACTCCATCCACTGAAACAGTCACTTCGCTTTTCTTCCTTTTTTATCTACTCTCAAAGGCGTTGTGATAACGCCGAAATGACGAGACGAAATCTTAGTTTTATCGAATTTTAAAAACTTTATCTTATATAATGTTAGTTAACTTAACCAGTTTAGCGAAAACAGCCAAATTTTAACTGCGCAGGATCAAAGCTTACCTTCATTCCACAGCTAAACATATTCATAGTCATTTGTCCCATTTGTCCCCTTTTCACCACAGTTAACACTTTGAAACACACGTCAGCCATACCAGATGGTATATTCGGATCCGCGTCACAATCGGTGACATTCAAATCACCCAGTGTTGTGCATGCCACAGTCGGTGGGTTTGGTATGCAAGTGTAGCAGGTAATGGCCAGAACTACTGAAAAGAAGGGAAATGAAGATTATTACGGAATTATTTGACAAATTGATCCCCAAAAGTTATCTATGATTATTTTATCGTGACTTATCATTCAATGATCCAGTACGACTTGGTTTAAACATAATTCAACCTCGTTATCGAGGGAGGAAAAGAGAGGACCCTGGAAATGAGGCTTTGTGGCACAGGTGGTAATAGCGTCCAATCAGAATTTTTCTTTTCTCTCATATCATAATTCATTTTCGGCAAAATAAACCCACAAAGATGATGACAACAGACTTCGTCTGTTAATTAAATTCGTGAGTAAAACTAATGCTCCATTAGTGAGAATTCGACGCTTTCGTAGTTTTTCAGATTATTTTGGATTGACGACAGTACAAACTATATTTGGGAAGCTATTCCTTACTTATACTGGAATCAGTAACGGTGTAAAATCGCACCATTTGTTTTTGTAAATTACGTTCTCGCGAAAGATGTGAGAGCGTAAGGATTAAGATTCGCACATTTTTATCTTTATTTTTATTTTTTCCGGTAATCAAACCGTTGATACTTAGATTTTTAGCTCTCTCTATCTTATTAGACGATTCGCTGCTAATGGCACTTTCTCTTTCAACAATTGTTTGGGAAGATCAGCCAAGACAAGCTACTTGTCAGCCAAACTTGGCATATTTGAATTTGAAAGATGCATATTAACATGGCATACCAATGCTTTTACGGATGCGCTGAGGAAAAGCCTTCGATAATAGCCAACGACAACGATATCACTAGAACGTAATGACCTTTTTTGTCGGTTTTCTGTGGAGAGTGGAATCGGAATGATGCATTTTGGTCCTTGTGCTTCGATAACATTAACATTAAGCCACATGCTTGAGGGGTCGTGTGACAAAAAGAGGAAAATTACACGTTGTGTAAATATAACTTGAATTTGAAAATAGAAAATGATATATATTATGACTTCTAAATAAAAAAAATCGGCATGTATAAGGCGAGCAGTAGATGCGGAAAGTATGTCAAATTAGAATTCCTTAAAGTAGTCTCTGGCGAGTAGGCGTTTTTTTCAGATTATTGAGACTTGAGCGTCCAAGTTCTTGTTTATGGTAGCAAACAGTGTTCCATAACACAGAACCGCGATATTTGAGCGAGTCTTTTACGTATCTTGTTTGGAACCTGAATACTAGTAACCAGAGTAACCATTTTAGCGACATTGAAGGATGTTTTCAGACAGTGAGTCCGGGACAGTGGCACTATAGCCTTTGTAGAAAAGCCTGAAGATGTCTAATTTATAATACAAAAAAAGTGTAGGCCACCGGTCATATCTAAACACGTCAGATGATGTCATATGATAAGTCTTTAGACAGATTAAATACAATTCTTGCTGCCCTGCAGTGAAGTCTTTCTATTGAACCGAATATATCAGAATTACTACAAG